TATCAAAACGATTTTTTTAGCATATAGTTGCATCATTATAAGGGAACCAAACCCTGAAAGTTGCATGAAGATACGGTCTTTCAAACGGGGGAAATTGATTTTCAAAGAATTCGGCCGCGAACATCAACATGTCTGTGTGCATGTTATTTCATTCGAAATAAAATATTACGTAACCTTTAGAGTCGGCCTTCGCAACCACATGGCTGTACGATATCAAATCAAAACGATTATTGTGTAGAGTCTACGTGTACATGATCTATATCCTCTGCTCTATTTTGTTCTTTCCCCCTTTTACAATCAAGAACATACCTCAAAACAATATCGAATGCGTTCATGCCCTTTCGCATAAAATAGTGAACAATAACTGTCAATGACTGTTCAATGATTTGAAAGTCTTAAGGTATGAATTTCAATTTCTATTAGACCAGATTATTATTAAGTGTGGGTGACTTAGATGCATTTTGATAGATATTATTAGCAAATTCAGCTTGGATACTCAGGTTCAGCCTACTTCTTTACTAGCATGATTAATATACAGGTATTGATAAAGTCCTTCCTGAACAATTCGATTTCTGCTTTGCTGACAACACTTTTTTGATGGGTCATGGTGCAGTGCCTCGTGTGGGGATGACCTTAAAATTAGTTTCTTTATCTCAACTTACCCAGCGTGTCATTCATTGTTCACGATATCGGCGTACAATACCTCTTCCTCGTTGTTAATGATGCTGGATCCCGCGTCCTCTCTACCACCTCTCCGTGGCAGATCCAAGTCGGCGTAGATAAGTCCCTCGACGTTCTTCTGTCTCGGGTCATCAACCGTTGTCTCCTCGTCGCGGTCATCCACCAGCTCTGGAGCGGCTTGGGAGGTCGAACGCAACCGTGCTTTGGAGATGTGATACGGTACAACGTTGGGCGGCTTGACACCGGTGGATGGTTGGGCGTTCTGCGTCTCGCGTTTCTCGTCCTGCGTTGTGCGTCCCGCACCGGGGTACGGCTTTACAGCACTGATTGACTTTTTGGGCTCCGGTTGATTTCGGCCGCCATCTTTTGGAACCTTGGATGATTCTTGCTTCGATTCCTTGGGCTGTTTCGCCGCCTGTCCACAAACTTTCTGGGAAGAATCTTTAGCGTGGACTGCGCCTAGTGTCTTAGATTTGACGAACCGTTTATCGGGGGTGGCGTACAGAAGCTCAGTACTATTCCCACCAAGTTGACTCTTCTTTTTGCTAGCTTCTGCTGACGTGAGTCCAGTGTTCGGTTTAGCTGCATCTTTTCTCTGAGGTTTGTTGACTTCACCTCGATCTTGTTCGGCGTCTGATTGCTGAGTGCAGTCCGACGCTCCTTCCACAGTTGTGAATGGTTTGGACATCTCAATCAATAATGTGTCTGGAGATTTCGGTTGTAAACTTGCAGAAGTAACATCAACATTCAGTTGTGTCTCTGCGGTGCCATTTTCGTCTGAGCGTGTTCTGCTATCTTGAATTTTAAGTGCCTGGCCGGTCGGGCGGGTGTCTGGTTTGCCGCGGCCTTTGAAGAGTAGGAAGTACAGGACGAACGTGATGACGAGTAGTAAGACAACAGCGGCACCGATCCCTCCTATTAAGATTGCGGACGAGCTGTCTGATTGAGAGGGTTTGGGTCGACTGGTCGTCAGGGGGATTTGGGGCTTTGTTCCATCTGAAGGAGGACCTTCATTATCTCTCAGGGATGCCTCAGTCGGTGATGGCGCGACAACATTCCCGTCCTGTGGACTTTGTAGAGTTGGCGTTATTGCCTCAGATGTTGGTGATTCGGTAGTTAGTGCAGTCGACGTTAGTTCCTTTCTTGGGTCAACTATCAGCAAGGCAGCTTTTCGCTGCCTCGTTATTGAGGTTGATCTCCTGATCACCTCGCATGCAATCATACTGCCATTTTGTGCCATCTGTAACGGCGTGATGGTGAGATTACCCCCGTTGTTGGAGAGTTGAAAGTTGTCGGAGTTTGGTATTTTCTTCAATCTGCCGTTCATGGCATGTACGAACCAAGCGAACGAGTCATTCAGATGAAGGTCCGCTGCGTATGCGCAGAGGAAAGAAGCTTCTTGGCCTTCTTCCCGCCGATGCCGAAATGGTTGGACCTCCGTGTTTACCGGTTGCACTACGGTGAGTGTTGCATACGGGGTATAATAAGACCCTATGGGGTCGATGTATGAATAGGTTTTACACCGGTAGACTCCACCATCGCTTTGTTGAACATTTCTCATCTGTAAAATCCAAGCTTGACCATCTGATGAGACCACTTCGTAGTTTGAATATTGTGACCTGCAAGTAGAGAGAGTCTCCTCCGCTGAATCGCGCTTACGCAGCCAGTGAAGAACGTGTTTGTAATTTGGATGATGATGTTGCTGAACACACACCCTGACATCACTTAGTTTACAACTTAATGTCACATTGTCTCCCACTACGGCCAGAGTATTTTCTGGGTTCCTCGTGTAACTAATTCCCGTACCTCCTCCACACATCAACGCCATAAGTAAAGTTCTAAGCCAAAACATTGCGGCTGGTGAGGACCCAAACACGTATAACACTATGCGGTGACTTAGAATCTGTGCACTTTTCACTCCAAACGTAGTACCTACTTTCGCGGATTTAACCGGAGCTCAATCAGTATAAAGTTGTCACTCAAGAGGCAAAGCTGGAGATGACAGCAGATTTTATATACGCTTCTTAATATGATTTAATAACGCTATTAAGCACGATACAGGACAAAGCAGCAAACTCGCATCTCAGCGACTGCAGTCAGAATGACTCACTCTTTATGATCAGACACCAGTGTTTTTGTTTTTTTTACTTTTTCCTGCTCTTTTCGTATTACTTCCTTTAAATATTTTCATACAACGACTTCCCTGTAAAACCTCGTTGTTTACACGACATGGTTAGTATATACGTACAATATCTAACTTTCAATATGAATCTCTTTGCGTTTTCATTTAAAAAATACATCTAACTATGGTTGAAACGGATATCATTAGATATACGACTGAACATGCATTCTGCACATAGAGGCCAGCACAATCAAAGGTCATTAGTGTACGTGTTTGTACACCAGTTTTGTACGCTTTTAAAATTCTGTGAGTTTCTTACTGTTTGGCGTTATTTCTTTGTTTATAAAAGAACTAGAAACTGAGGGTGAAAAAATTAATATTCCCAAGTATGTATTGCCGTTTCAACACAATTCAATTCTTCCAGCTGCGTCTGTGGACACGGCTTTCTCGCCACCTTTCTCGACTTTTTTAAAGACTATATAGTGCTGCTGGCCTGTTCTAAACGGCTGGAGGAGCGTCCATTCTCCATCGGCTTCAGTTTACCAGTACGCCGTCATGTAGCCTCGTCCCCTGTCGCAACTGAATCTTTCCTCCGTTGGTATTTAGCAAATCCATGTACATAGGCGTAGCCAGCAAGGAGGGGAGGGGGGGGGGGGGGGTAAGGGGGGGGGGGGGTAAGGGGGTATTTACCCTTCCCCCCAATATTTTGTAAAGACTGCCCTTTTCCATTGAAATACCTTTTTTCAACCAGCGCTTAACCCCCCCCCCCCAATATTTGTAAAGAGTGTCCTTCTTTTGTTAACAAGTGCCCTTTTTTCTGAACAAGTTCCCTTTTGGAAAACAAGTAGTGCCTTTTTCTTTGTGCCAGCGGCCTTGACTAGTGCCTTCTTTTTTTAATGTCGCCCATGTATCGCCCTGAAAAGCGCCATTGTCCGTTAGTGGGCATACTCGTCGGATTTGAATAGCACCCCCATCGAATAGATGGTCATGGGCGTTGCGAGGGGGGGGGCAAGGGGGGGGGCGCGCTTGCCCCACCCCCGGAAAAGAAAAAAAAAAGAAAAAAAAAGAAAAGAAAAAAAGAGGCGCGAAGTCATAGTGGTGTAAATTTAATGAGTTGGGGGGGGGCAAAATGTCCCTGCCCCCCTCTAAAACTGAGAAATCGAGAAAATGTTGAGAAATACAGGATTTTTTTGGGAAAAATATATTTTGCCCCCCTCTAGAAAAAATCCCGGCGACGCCCATGTAGATGGTATCAACACCCCCCCCCCCCTATTTGACGATGTGCAAGTGCCCTTTTCAAATAAAAAAAAAATACCCCCTAATAAAAATGACCTTGCTACGTCCCTGATGTACGTACATATACATGTAGTAATCTCCAAAGAAGTTTGTGCTCCCATATGATACTCGGGGAATGCAGGACAAACAGGGAAAGTGGGATCGGGTAGGACAGTCGATTGGGGGATGGGTGGAACGGACGGCGGTTGAGGTGTAGACGGTCCAGCTCATATTCGGGAAGATACTAGGTTCGCGCCAGTCTGCCCGGGATGTCTTGATCGGTGACTGTCCCGTCAACGTCTAAATTAATCAGGAGATTACCCCCTACTTTACGAATTTGTAGCAACTACATGTAGTAACTGGTTAGTTGGCTGAATGAAAATTTTGTTGTGGATCCCCCACTTGCCCCCCCCCCCTTAAACGCTGGTTCTCTGCCCTCCCCTCCCTACCCTGAAAAATCCTGCCTACGCCACTGATCAAAAGTTAAGGCCTATGACATAATATCTTGAAAATATACCGACTTTTGTCTAGATAAGAACGAGTGATTAAATCTGTGCACGGTTTTTATGCATGTGCATGGAGGTACACCTGTGGGTTTTTTTTTAGGTAAAATTTTCCTTCTCGTCAGAAAATCGTGTAACTGCCGGCAAAAGTGGACCATCAACATCATCATCCAGTTAGATCTAGATTTAACAGCACCCCGAAACATTCCCAAGTCATGTATGAGTACTGTTTAATACTTTGAGTAATTTTAAGTCACAGTTTTGCCCTTATTTGTGTGGTAATGTCGTACGACTCAGATTCAGATTTTGTGGCTTTAACGACGCATGGGACCCCACTAATTTTGTTTGTTTGTTTGTTTTACTATGTTAAGTAATTGTTTTTAATAAGTACAAACTCTATAATATATACATGTCTATATTCAAAGCTGGCACGCCCAATACCGATGGCGCAATAACCGTAAAATCTGTTCCGATTCCGGTCCCAGAGATCTTGGGTTCGAATATTTTTGAGAGTATGGGGGCGCTACGCCATTTGAGGGAATAACAGTTGATGTAGCTGAGGTATACGGAAAAAGTTCATGGTATGATTGACAAACGTTTTAGGTATCTTGCCAAAAACGTCTTTAAGGGCACGGGATCTAGTCACACATTACGTACACATATTCACGGATGAAAACTATCAACACACTGTGGCAACATGTAGATTTTGTTTTCATATCTATAAGAATTCAGAATAAATTTATTATAAACAAAAAAGTATCGATAGCAATATTATCGCTGATATTTGATTGAAAAATACCATGCATTGTTACTTCTTTTGACATGTAAATTACCTAATACAAAAAGTTACAACACATTGTGAAATTTAAGACTACTCGAGACTTTTCAAATTTCGAACGTTAATGCAAACAGTCCGAACTGAATACTTCAAAATCCCGAATCTTGGTCAAACTCGATTCTTGATTTTATGAGATAATTAAATTCATAATAACGTGGGACATAGATTCATGAAGGATAAAAAAAACTATGTTTTCCCCGTATTGACTGCATGTGTTTCAAAGCCAAAAGTTTGCAATAATAATAATTATGAGGTTTTTAAATACTCTCTAAAAAAGTAAGGTAAAAAACACTGTTGGGTGATGCTATCTGTCCAACATTGCTATGAAGTTACCTCACTGTTGGTTAATTCGGGTAAAACTTGACCAACCATTGGGAAGAATTTGCCTCAGAGTGTCGGCAGTTGATATGTTGACCAACATTGGGGGGGGGGGGACACACATTTGCCCAACTTTTTTTATAGTGAGTACACTGTAGTAAATGATACCAAAAATGGAGTTATTCATGCGCAATTAATGATTAAGGGCTTAATTCATATAAGTTATGCATAATTATTGTGGGCAAGCTAATTACATGTATAATGTTCCCACATACTAAAAACGTATTTGAATCCAAGAATTTACAACTCGCTAACGATTCTAAATATTAGAATACCATAATCAGAGAACATAATTCAGCTGTGCTTAAAAAAAAGGCAAGAGCGCATGAGAAGTGCCCCAGAAGGTTTCTCAGTTCTTGAGAGAATTTTGTTTTTATCCTGGTAATTCTTATTCTCCGCTAAACCCTTTGCAGCGGAGCTCGCCCAGGGTCAGCCAGGATTTCTCCTTGGTGCCGCCCGTGTCGCCCAGGTAGACCATGCGGACCGGCAGGTAGCGCTTGTCCGTCAGGAAGCCCGAGTCCTCGGACCAGAACTTGTTGTTGGAGTCGCAGTTGCACTTGAAATGGGAGTTGACGCAAGACCCTGCATGGTTAACGCGGGAAGGGAAAGATTGGATTGGATTGGATCAATTGGATTCCGGGTTTTGTAGATATTGTCTCTGGTGTATTATGGAGCCAGTAACGTCAATGGGATGAGTGAAACAACACCCACAAAACAGGTCGTAGTGTTTCATTGGCGATTGATACAGTATTATAATTTGATTTTGGTATACCATGTATGTCCAAGGATCGCCACAGTGATTGGCTGCCTTGAGAGAAATAAATGCATAATTCATGAGGCATGTGTTGCATACTCAGACTTATGATGGACATAGATAACTGGAATCGGTGAGACATGCTTAAAGGCATCATTTGCATTATTTTATCCCTAGCAAATTATTTTCAAAAAGGTTATTTTCGTTAAACATCGTACTGGCACTCCATACCGCGTAAAATCATTCCGTTTGGCTTGCTGTCATTCAGAAGAAATCAAGAAATGTAGGCCATTTCCAACGATCAGTCAGTCGAGTGTTCGTTGGAAAAAACGAGTCAAATCGTGTTTCGTGATGAAAAGGTTGTGCATGGTTTTGCACTGTTTTCTCGAATTATAGTGTAATATCCAACAAACCGTACAACTCAAACAAGAAAGAGGGTTGCAAGGTTTTGTTGAACATCCGGAACCCAACTCACCGAGTTGTTTACCAAATAAAATGTACAAAGCAGAAAATACACAAAAACACTTAGCGAAACCTACAACGTACTTGCTAAACAAAAAAATAGGTTACCATTCAAAACCAGTTATTCGTTTTTGATAGCTGGTTACTGATTCTTGACTGGTTTCTACTGAGCACAAAAAAAATTATCCGCTTTAGCAGCTAATAACTCTTTTCTGTCTTACCGTCTAGATCGCAAGCACACTGGCCACTGTCCGGGGAGGAAGGCACACCGCCCCAGCTCATCATACGGGTGCCGTCACGGGCTATCCACCAGCCGTAGTCGCGGTGGCCTCGCCGCAACTGGGCCCGGAACAGGACCGCTCCCATACACACAATCTGAAAAAATTATGATCATACAGCAAATATAGCTGTCAATAAAAATACAGAATCTGCCAATTAACATGTTCTTTGAGCTATAATTTACTAAAACAAGTTGAAGGTTAACAACTTGCCCGCTATTCCAAGTTCAGTAAAACATTCAGTTAACTCATGATGAAATCTGAACCGTCTCTGCGATCAAGGTACCTGTGATTTTACCAGGGTTTCAAAGATGTAATCGCAGTAATATATCTTGCCCAAGAACACAAGGACTTCTTGCTGGGATTAGAAATCCTCTTTCGGAACATTCTGCCAACGACACACAATAAACTACAGAAATGACTACGAGTTTTTATTATTATTATTAAGTTCTGGTAATGAAACCAAGGATTTCTCAAAAGCCCCATAGGCACTGTAGCTCGCAAGCCTGAAGAAACCTGTGGAGAAAAGACATTGAGAAGAAATTACAGATTTAGAGGTGGGAGAAAACCCCCAGATGAATATTCTGGGGAAACCCACAGAATCAGGTAGGGACTGAAAACCCAATCCACATGTTGGCCCTGGCGGGATTCAAACCCGGGTCACAGCGATGGAAGGCGAGGGAAGTACCGCTACGCCAACCTGACTCCCCAAGTCATCTGCATCCCTTTGTAAGGGGTGTTTTGGCTCACCTTGATGTACTGTTCACAGCTAGCCGAGGCCTGTGTCAGTGCTTCCAGCTGCTCGAAGTCGGCGTTGGTGTAGCGGATCTGCAGCTGGAACGAACCGGGCTGCTCGTAGCCCGACACAAAGACCGGCTCGGTCTCGTAGTTGTGCCCGACTATCGTCACGCCTGCGGCAAGAGTATCGAGAGGACATTCATAATCACAATTGATATCGTTCAAGTCCACTTTTGTCTGAGGTATTGGCTGCTACAATATACCGGTTTGGCTGGGATATGTGTGGCCGGCACGTTGTTTGTTTTGCCAAGATAATACATGGGTCAGTGGCAGTTAGGCTGCGCATTGGGTAATGCCAGTTTGGCCTGGAAAATGCCGGTTAAGCCGGCACGGTGCACGTTTGGCCTGGCCAATGCCGGTTTGAACGGGCTGAGACCGTTCGGCCGGCAACATTCCGGTTTGACTAGCACAGTACTGATTTGGAAGGCACGTTGCCCGTTTGACCGAGACAATGCCGGTTTGACCTGGCCGAGACCGGTTTGGCCGGTGTCATATGAAAATCGGACTCGTATGAAAATCGGACTCTTTTTTCCTTTAATTGGTTAAACCCTCTCACGTGACCGGTCCCTCTCTTCATTATCTATGCATGAGCATGCGCAATACCACCAATGAGTCCGTATTTCATAAAACCTAAATTCATGCTACACCGGCACAGCAACGATTTGGAAGGCACAAGTCAGTTTGGCTGCCATTGTCTCGGTTTGGTCGAGACAACGCTGGTTTGGGCTGCACGGTACTGCTTTTGTTGGCACTGTACCTGTTTGGCTGAGACAGTGTCGGTTCAACCGGACCAATGCCAGTTTGGAAAGGTAGATGCCTATTATTTTGGCCGGTATAGTCGGCACAGAAAGGTTGGGTCGAGACAATGCCGGTTTGGACGAGACAATGACGGTTTGATTGGAACAGAACCGGTTTGATTGGGACAGAACCAGTTTGATGGGAACAGAACCGGTTTAATGTGAACAGAACCGGTTTGATTGGAACAGAACCGGTTTGATGAGAACAGAACCGGTTTGATTGGAACAGAACCGTTTTGAAGGGAACAGAAGCGGTTTGATTGGAACAGAAGCGGTTTGATTGGAACAGTACAGGTTTTGATGAGAACAAAACCGGTTGGATTGGAACAGAACCGGTTTGATGGGAACAGAACCGGTTTGATTGGAACAGAACCGGTTTGATTGGAGCAGAACCGGTTGGATGAGAGCAGAACCGGTTTGACCGGCACGGTATGGCTCCTCGGACATAGTGACGGTTCGGAAGGCACGGTTCCGGTTCAGTTAACGCCCACTCCGGGTTCACGCAAAACATACTCACCTTCACCCCTGGACAGCTCACAGCGCACGTTGAACTCCGGCACGGTGCGTAGTCCCTGGCCGTCGGGGTCGATCACATACTCGTTGTCGTTCCGGTAGCCCATCCGGTAGATCTCGTCGCAGGTTCGCGCGATCTGGCCGACAGGGGGCGGGGAGGGCACGGGCTTGTCAGGTATGTTCCCCGGTCGGTTCCCGATGTTGTTAGGGCCTTCATCTTTAAAAGAGGATGGCAATTTTAATGAGAGTTAAGCAATTAGGACCAAAAAGTGACCTCTTCCCAAGTATGAATAGATAAGTTGCCGTCTACAAGTCATGACTCTTAAAGGTATATCATTTGCTGTTCATGCATTTTGTTTCCAAGAATTACACTACTCACAATCCAAAGAAGAATGTTCAAAACTTTACCTGTTGAAATTTCATCTCGGTGGATATTACACAAGTTGAGAAAACAGTGGAAAATCATGCACGACATTAGGTCACGACAGACGATTTCGTTATAATATACCTATTCCCCCCCCCAAAGATATGTCAACTGACTGATCGTTGGGAATCACCTACATGTTTCAGATCAACCCAGTTTGCAGCAATTAACTCATTTTCATGTTCCACTTTTAGAGAGGAACAAAAATAATTCCTCTCTTTTGTAAAATATATCAGACAAAAACACAAGCGTTGTCGGTTGATTTGAGAGCTTGGCTAAATCATTTTTGAGGTTGCTAATTGCTATTGACGGCATGCGACAGGCGAGCAGGAAGTTCCGGTTGAGAAAATCTTGGCTAGAATACTAGCTTCGATGTTAATTGATGGGACAGGTGTTCAATGGCGTAGCTACAGGATCCAACTTACAGGTGGCACTTGATATAGAGAGCTTCATTTTCTGGGACACTGAGTGGACTTAAAAAAAACCAATTTATTTTATCTTCACGTGTAGGCCTACTGAGAAATTGACACCAACCGCTTGAATTGGAGTCACAAAATGCAGATCCAACTGTAATTGCCAAAACGGTAAACATGAGTCTTTTTTAATAGATGGCATAACCGGTTTAATTAGCTTGACTGTATTCAACTAAAATTACAAACGTCCCTGAAAACCGAGGCGAGCAAATCATTAAATACAGCTTAAAACATATATTGTTACCTGTGATGCCCGTGAAGGGACAAAACCGGTCGTAATTGTTTGCGACGTCGTGAATTTATTTACGACTGGACGTGAGTATTTTGGCGACGTCGTGAATATTTTTAAAAACAAGATTCATTGAAGGGTGCATGCGGACGGTTTTGTACGGTTCATTGTATTTCAAAGTAATTGAGAGAAAGTTGATATGTTTTGTAATGAGTGATCCATTCTCCAGATGTGTTTGAACAGTTAAGTCTTCAATGTGTGTCTTTGCAGTTTATAAATTCTGCATGTTTAAAAATATAGTCAACAAAACCCGATAATGTCAGTGTAGCGAACAAAATTTAATATAAAATCAACTTGTGCATTTCGACATAAAGCAAAACAGACCAAAGTTCACGAAACTAAACCAACTATAAATATCAATATTGGGTTTTGCCCTTCACCGACGTATAAGCACTGTATACTCTGTTTACCTCCCGAGTGAAATTTGGAAAAACTCACTCGGGTGGGACTCGAACCCACGACCTCCTGCTTTCTAGTGCAGACGTCTTACCACTCGACCACTGAGCTTGCGGGATCGGTTGGCTGGTTCGAGTCTGATTCGAATCCGATGTGCTACATGAACAAATGGAATTTTAAACGCTTTTATGATCTCTAGGCAACACATCTGCTAAATCACTACCCGCCATATCCCTCCTCAGTCCCTCCTCATTTCTCCTCGCACCCCTAAAAAACAAAAATAAAAAACAAATGCTGGCTTCTGATTGGTTGAGAGGGCTGAAAAGGGGGCGGGACACTACCTATACAGCCGTGCAGCACTACTTGCAAGGAATATCCACGATTTTGAGGTTGATGAGGATTTTTTTAACGGATATTCCAAAGACGAACCACATGCATCACCCAAATAGAGGACTACATATGGGAACCTCAAAACAGGTATAGCCTCTTTTCCCCCCCCGATACTTTTAAATGCGCAAGATGCATATAGTATGCCTTTTCTACTTTCTCCCTAATAAATTTTTCTTTTGTTTAATTGTAAATTTTTTGGCGATCAAATTTAAAGTAAATGAGAAATTGATTATAGAATCATTAAGTACGGTTGATCTTTTTGTGCGTTATAGAGGCTCAAAAGCAACCCGAATAAAAAAAACCTTTGCAGAGGGCTGAAATGCCCAAAACATACAAAGAGTAAGTTTTTGTTGAAATAACACAAAGGAATAAAATTTTCGTTGGGTCTTATGCCAAAATTTTGCTTTTATTCCAAAAGTAACCTACGGAAATTATCATCAAGAAACTTCCTTGCAGATCTTACTGGTGCTAAACACCCCGTGAAATTACTCTGTCCGGCTTGCTGTCATTTTAGAAGAAATCCAGAAATGTAGGTGATTCCCAACGATCAGATTTGTGGAGAAAAAGAGTGATATGGACGAAATCTTGTTTAGCAATCACGTGGTTGTTCAAGTGGTTCTTCACTGTTTTCTTGAAAAGTAGTAATATCCAACGAGCTGAAACTTCAACAGGTTAGGTTTTGAGCATTCTTTTTTTTTGGTTTTTGAGTGGTGTCATCATGGGAAACGACTAGAATGCAAGAAAAAGCAAATTATTATCTGCACTCATTACAGTGATGATCTCAGGGAGTCAACCCCCCAAGCTATATAGGGCAAGGTCATTACACAACTTCCGCCTCAATCATCGAGTACATAAAATCATTTAATGCTTTTCGTGTAATCCAGCTGTCAGTAGGACTAACACCCAGACTCCAGGCGATGAGCTACGGAGACAGGTGAACGAATTTGACTCATCGTCCAAACAACAGGGATGAACGTTTGGAACACTTCCAACATTTTAAAAACAATATTCAATTTGCCCAGATTAGGTTCTCGTCCAAAGAGTATTTTCGAAGTAAAAGCTGTAAGGAATTTCAGAAGTTTTCTTCCACAAATAATCGTTTAATTTCCTTACTTGTCGAAGATTGAGAATGTAGGATCTTTGTTCGTAATTTTTTTTCTGTGTGTTTTGAAATGTGATTTGAAACTTTGCATTGCTGTTCTCTACCCAACATCTTCTTCAAATTTTGAAATTTAAGGGGTCAACATTTTCAAAATTATTATTCGACAAGAAAGTTGTCGGACAATAGGGAATGTAGCCTATAATAAAGGATCTTTTCCCGACAATTTTAATATTTGGTTTGAAATGTGATTTGAAACTTTTGCACTGCGGAGACCACGATTACCTTTTAGCAATCGAATTATCGGGGAAAAAATGTTTAGCTTGCCCCTTTGTGTTTAACACAAAAATGTTTTTGGATGTATGTATTTTTGGTCTAGATTTACATCACACAAAAATATTCGACACGAATAAGTTGTACATTTTGGAGCACAGTTTGGAGTAAATCTTAATTATTCGTCTTAAAATGTGAGTTGTAACACTGCATGTCCCCTCGCTCGGGATTCTGGAGAAAATAAAGTTGAACTTCATATTGTTTTCAAAACCTGTCGAGTGCACCCTCTTCAGAAAATGACTACCCAAGTCCCCCTCCTAATGTAATGACCGAGCCCTTGTGAATACCCCCTATAGCTCTTCGGAAAATCGACTATATCCAAGTACTCTCCCCCCCCCCCCCCCCCGAAAATGACCAATCCAAATGAATGCCTCTTCAGAAATTGACAACCCAAAGTGACCCCTTCCCCCCGAAAATGACAAAAACCAAGCGATTTCCCCCTTCAGATCATGATTATACCCATGTATACCCTGAAATCAACATCAGGTTTTGCCCTTCATGATATAAACACTGTAGCCTATACTCAGTGTGTTACCTCCCGAGTGAAAGTTGGAAAAATCACTCGAGTGGGACTCGAACCCATGACTTTACGCTATCTATCTAGTGCAGACGTCTTACCACTCGACCATCGAGCTTGCGGGATCGGTTGGCTGGTTCGAATCGGATGTACATGTAGCAGAGTGTACCGCAATTAAACTATTCATACGATGGAATTTGCGTTGTAAATCAATATCAGTTTTGCCCTTCACCGATGTATAAACACTGTATTCTCAGCATGTTACCTCACCCTGAAAAATCACCGAACCCAAGGGATGCCCTCTTTAGACAGTTGACTACCCCAAGTATCCCCCTCCGAAAATGAGAAAACCAAGTGCATATGCCTCCCTCTTAAAATGACAACTCCAAGTGCCTTTAATGACCAAATACCCTCTGTCCCATCCCCAAAAATGGAGTCTACACCATGTTCCCCAAAATCCTTAGGGTTAGGGTTAGGGTTAGGAGATGTTTAGGGTTAGGGTGAGGATTAGGAATGTGTATAGTTGGAACATAGGGGTGTCGGAACATAAAGGTGTAATCTGGCTTTGCGTCCCCGAAAATGGCACCTGAGTTACGCCGATGTGCCCATAGCTTACCTGGTATATTTGGGAAGGCTGGCCCTCCCAAGGGCTCGTCCGGCGGGCTGTCCACCCCAAGGTCCCGCTCGGCCCTCCTGATCCGGGAACCGATTGCCTTCAGTCGCCTGTCCAGTCTGCGGTACTGGTCGTTCATCAGCTTGCCCACGTGCCGGAAGGTGTCCATCTGGAGGTCGGACTGCAGGCCGTTCAGCCGGTAGATCTCGCCCAGGGCCGGCTGGCCGCTGGACTGGCCGGTGAAAGTGGCGAGAAGGCCGACGAACAGTACCAGGCCGGTTGGTTGTAACTGCTGCATTTTGGGCCTGCAACAAAAACGTGGAAACTTGAAATCTCTCTCAGCGTGTCCGTTTATTTCCCAAAATTTAAATTGTAAAAATCAGACGGTTTCGAGTGAAGATCGCTTTTATTTTAGGTTGAAACACTTTGAAAAAGATTCACTTCCGACTGAAGAATCAATTCAAAACAATCGATTGAATGAATTTCACTCGAAATCGTCTTGTCGATCCATGTTTCAGTGCGAGCATGGGTCGGAGTGAACTTTGCTCTATGAATAAAGTGAATCTTTCTTTACGGCACTCTAGTGCGACAAATTGACCCACTAGTGCGACAGTCGTGGCACCTAAAAAAAAGGATCGGAAGAGATAAGCGCCGGTTTGAAAATGTACACGAATTTCTGACGTCACGTGGAGTGTCGGCGCTGCAATTTCACAAATAAATTGAACACACTTCAACCATCAGCGATTTTACTGCGAATGTTTTATGACGTCAAATCCTTTGAATTCGCGTTCAACTCAAGCGAAGTAGGCCTATACACCATCTCCGATCAAATCCGATCAAATCGACAGGACGTCTTACAAAATTGGACCGCACATGCACAGACCAAAACGCCTACTCCTATATAAAAGAAGACCAATTAGGGCAAAAATGTGAACATGTGGCAGTTTGTAATTGGGGTATAACTGCCAAAGTTATGTTGTTGGTAACTCGGTATCAGAAACCTGTTGCGTTTTGACATAACTCGTAGTATAGTAACCACAACAATTCAGTCGAGTTTTACATGTATCGTATACTTCACTCACGAGTCACGCCTAACAAAAATTGGAGAAACAATATGTCTAGAGCACCCGTTGAGTATCGACGAAAATCTTAACCACGAAAATATTAGTGAACTGTCATTTCACACAAGTATACACAACTACAATGTAGAGAAAGAATATTCTAGACAGCATAAACGAACTCGTGCCTAACAATAGAGTTGTATAGGTCCTCTCACCTCCGTTCATTACTCTTTTTTTTATCAGTCAGATTACCCGTCATTATTAAAACAATTTTGACACTTGGAACTATACGTGGAGGGGTTCCACTTAGGTAATTTTCTTTCTGTTCGCGCGTGTCACACAAAATTTCCACTTTGGTTTACAAAAAAAGTTGAGCACGACGGTATCAGCGAGCGGGGCGGCGTTACGTTTAAGTGCATGGGGAAGTTCACTTGCGAAGGACTAGGAAGGCCAGTCTAGGCCTACAGGAGGCGGTCCCTAGGGAGTTTGATGTATGACGGGGTCTGACACATTGACAGGTGGCACCCTACCACGGCAAGGCGCACATAACCAGGCAGCTAGAGCGCGGCTGGTGTTCAGTTATATCCAAAAACACGGTCCTTGCCTCACCACCGAGTTTCACCCAAGGATAAAACTGCGTGTCACACGGGGACAAAAAGATTCGTCGGCCTACTTGGTGAGTACATCAATAAATAATTACAACACATTGTTATAGCATAGTGTGCGTTAAGATGATGCCAGAAACTGGAAGCTTTTAAAAAGTTTGTTAAGCGTGGTGATATTGTTATAGTTGAAACACAGTTTCTCCGGTTGTATCGATGTTAGAGCATTTGATAAAACAATTCAAGCAATTTACATTTTCAGCTTCTGTTCAAACATTCTTCCATTGTTTAATACGACAGCAGAAATGATTGCATAATTACCTTATTTGGAGGGCTGCTGATATTATCACTTTCCCAATCGTTCAAATCGTCCTCCTGTCGATTACACCGATTAAACTCTAAGGCCAACAAACGTTACCAACTGCTGTTTCAGCTCGGGAACGCTTGACTCAAATCGCCTCCTGACGTAAGACTTTTGAACAACGGTGTTGCTTATTACGCGTATACAATGCAGTGCTCAGGGAAAAAATGCTGGCTGAGGCAGATTACAATGCAAGGGCACAGGGGACAGTAAAAGCCTAGACTAGCTCCAAGCACTTTCTCATCGCTAGTGCGCGGGTGGCATTAATAGTGCAGCGGTGTTCCCCCGGATTCCCACGCACTGTTGTTGTCCCATGACTTTATACCCCGGACGGAAGTTTCGCAGCAGCGCGCGCCAGCCGGTGTCATCCGCCGTGAAAAAGAGAAGAGCCTCCTGGCTGGATCTGACCATAAGCTTACGTCATCGCGGAACTTTCTCGGCGGCCTCGGATGTTGCACCCCCTCTAATAAATTTCTAATCGACAAAACAGGCGGTTGGTTATTTTCTTTACAGAAAAAAAATCTTCCTGTTTAGCGTGTTTGTGTCTCCATGGAAAGTAGGGATAAGGTCGAAGGTTGGCTCGGTGGAGTCAAGCCGAAATGTGGCCCGGGTGAACGGACCGCATCGCTCATTACGATGTTTCTTGTCAACGGGGTTATTACGTGCGATAGAGACAGGTTGACCCTGGGGTCGCTCGCGAACGCAGCAGTCGGCACGTCAACGGTAATTCCTCCGCCGAATAAAAAGACGCATGTTTCAAATTATTATGGGGAAAAAAATGAAACACAGAAAAAAATGTGCATCTATTTTTACAAGAGAAAAGATCCCTCCACAAAAAGAAAAAAAACATCTACCAAACACAAATCACGTAATGCGAGGGGTGAGTGATAAACTCATGGCCTAGCCCTCAGGAGATGAGCTGTACAGCTTGACTGATATTGTGTGCAGATCAACTGTTGAATGATTGCACAGAAAGCTTGAAGTTATAATCTTTCCTTTTTTTTGTTCCTTCCTCCATGGTTACAGATCATTAAACCTTGTCAGTCACCGATACCTGAAAATTAAACATTGAAAATGGGAAAAAAATCCAAAAATTCGATCGTACGAAAAAAATCTCATTCTCACTCTCAGGAACCGGTGGCTGTCAAGGTTTAATTATCTGTAACACTAAAAAAAAACACCAAAGATATTAACTTCAAACTTTCTGTGTAATTATTCAACATGTTGAACTGTACACAATATCAGTCAAAACTGTGTTATCTCCTACCATCAATCAACTGGCGTATGTTTGAGGGACGGTTTTCGCACGGTTGGGAGAAACATCTTTTTGTTCAATAAATAACAGGTTCTTATATAGCGCTTTTAACAAAGATCAAAGCGCTTTACATTATTATTACCCCTGATCATTGGGCCAATTAAACATTCCAAATACCATCTCAGCTCCCTGGGGAGTATACAGCTCAATGCTGCCTGTTAGGTGCAAGGAAGCTATTTCAATCACAATAACCATCTCTGCCCTCACAGGTGCCCATTTACTCCTGGGTGGAGAGAGGCAATGAGTGACAAAGTGCCTTGCCCAAGGGCACACGCACCATGACCCTGGGCTGGACTCGAACCCACAACCCGCAGCTTTACCCACAGACCACGAATCCAGTGCCCTTAACCACGAGGCCGCAGCACTAAGCACTCCACTTTAAGTAAAACTTTGCACTTTTGTTTTCCCCTCTCTGAAGCTTCTAATTGATTCCAGTTTTTTCCTTTTCAAGTTCATTGATCGGAGCTATCAGAAGTGACCTGTGCCAAGTTTTAACAGAGCCAACAGCAATTTCCCGAACTTGTTTTGTCGTCTTTAAATCCGGGAGTTTTTGTTGTTTTGTTTTTGTTTTTAAGTTCCTCGTTATAAGCAACAGATGAACGGAAGAGATGTCCGCATTGTTGGCTAAGGAACAATTGTGTCATTGACATTGCAATATCTTGTAGATCACTGTTTATTTAAAACTGTAATTTCCTTTTCCTTCGCCCCAAAAACTTGTCTCTATGAAATTATTTAGACCGAGAAGAAAAACACTTGGACACGTTCTATCTTGGACACGGTCCATCAATCTGGAGCCACCGCCTTTTTAAAATCTCTCCACGTTCACTTTAAAGGGTCCATGAGGTGACATTTTCTTAGGAACACATTTTGTGCCACTTTCTACTCCTCTTAAATGTATGAAAAGCATTTGACATTCTGTTTTTGTTAATTTCATTGAAAAGTGCACTTCTTTAAACATTTAAAAATTTGCCATTTTTTTTACGGACAACTGCGGGCGCTGTTGCCGTTACCTTAATTTTGACATTATGATTTCTATAAGCGTAACCACCCCAAGAAACATGAATGAGAAACATGATGAGAAATCACATGCAGATGGGTAAAAACGAATTTTACTCACGACCTTTCACATCCGGCATTTTCACATCCTAGGTCGCCTTGTCCGTTCAAGTTTTTCTTTTCACATCGCGTACTTGCATGAGAACGAACATGTATAACGACGCGACGATTTACCTACCTACAGCCGATGGGTTCTAGATTTAGTCGGGCTGGCTTGAATGCAGTCCTTATCAGCGGCCATTTTAGATTTTTCCGTTAATGCTAATGACGTCTTCAAGTTCATTCAAAAACATTGCATATGTCCTAAAAGATATTTTAGTCTCCTATTTAAGTTTCAGTTTTCACCCAATGACCGCCACAAAATAAATGTTCATCTTAGTACGAGTACACCGAGTTCCACTAGTCCACATTTATGTTAGATTTTCGGAAGTGAGAGGTCAATTTTTGGCACGATATTTCTCTTTCACGTCAGGCGATTTTTCAGTTTCCATAAATTGAGATGCTGGTAACAATTTGACGAAGGGTTTCTTAAGAAGTCAATGTACCAAAAAGAATTGCAAATTTCAGAATTGTTTGCACTTTAATTTTCCTATTCAAGGGGTCCAGAAGCGCGCCACCAGGGGTGAACTTTCAGGCTCTACGTGCCAATGTTCCTGTACGTGCTTTAAAGTCTCATATCACTTTAACATACGCTACAGAAGGAAGACCGCTCAAAATTATTCCGTTCAATGCCCCACAGTGTGAGGCACAACAAAAGCGATTAAAACTCCTTCATCATTTCCTTGTTTAACCAACCAGAAGAAATCGCCTGACAATTTAGATCAGGAAGTCTACCAGCAAATGACAGCCCCATTGTTAGAAACAATATTCACCAAGACTCGCTCAGGGATTTCCTAAACCATGCCCACCGCAAAACCACAGAATACATTTAAGAAATTATCTCCCTCATCCTATATTAAAAGATCCTACTCTGTCTGTCATGGTGTCTGTCATGGTGTCTGTCTGTCTTGATCTGGGTAGTATGTTTTGTTTTAGGAATGACGAAACTTGTGCTGGTCCCAGAGGGACAAGTTATTGTCCTTTGTTGAACCTATCCTATCTGACTGACTCCCCGACTGACTCCCCGACTGATTCCCCGACCGTGACTAACTGACTGACTGACCGACCGAATGACTCCCCAACTGTCGCTTTCAACCATGGAGTTTTCCTCCATGTTTCAAATAAGACTGATCAAGAGCGCTGGGCAGTGCTATCGTATAGGGTAACTGCACAACGCCATTGAATGGGCTGAAGCCGGTCTAATGCGTAGACCAGATGAATTCCAGTGAACAGAATTATGGGCGCTCTGGCTATATCGATGGTCTGCGAGCAGCCTTGCTACGCATGCCTCGTCTGGTTAGGCCTTAAACTTACTTAAGTGTTAAAATGTTAAAGGTCGTTGCCGAACAAATCTAGAAACACAGCTCTTAAAGTATTGTGAGCCTTCGTTTGACTTTTAGACATACACCTGACATCCACTGCCCTTTCGGTGATATATTTTCCGAGAGCTGAAATTTTCTTTTCGCCAGATGTTCAATGATCCTACGAGACACCTGTTGAGATACACGGGCCTCTCGAGACCGGGTCGCACGCGTGCAAAGGTCGCCAGCTAGATCAGTTGATGCCGGTAATAAATCACGTGCGTCTCGAGAAAAATAAAAGAACAGAATAAAAAAGAATACTGTATCACGTTTATCGTGCATAGGTCATACGCGGTAGATCAGTAACAATCAGAAATGTTTTTCCCAGATGACGAGTTTTGTAACCAGTAGAAGGTAAAAGCACGATCGCATGAAATAATGGAGGATACAGGATTATTGAAACAATGGAAATCATTTCCGCAAAAAAAACCCATCTGGATAACTAGAAAGCACTCAGAGAGCGCAGACTAGGTACCTCCGCCCCTCCCTATTGTCAGTACGCCCGAAAAAATACTCGCATATTAAAAAAAATGTGAAGAATCCTTAACAAAATCCTGGATCCAGACCCAGATCCGGATCACTTCCGGAATTTAAGCGATTTGTACTTGTACCAAGGAACACCAATTCGTTATGCAAATCCGTCCATAACTTTTTGAAATTTGAGTTATCTTGTTGACAGACAAACCAACCAACAAACAAATGCAAATGAAAGCATAACCACAATGGCGGAGGTTATTAGTTTATGGAAAGAAAAATTATTCCATGAAAGTATCCACATCAAAAATGATGACGGATGAGCCTCGAGGGTGGGGCGAGTGGGTGGGGTGGGGGTGGGGATGGAAGCCCCCATGGGTGGGGGTACACATAAACGTGTTCAGAGGATGTTAACATATTGGCGAGAGAGTGGCGAGTTTTATCATCTCTAGCAAAACCGCGTCCATCTTGAGAACTTCAGTTGCCACTAAACTCGCGAGACTACGGCTAAAATCCCGCGAGACCGCAACTCGTAAATTACTGTACAGATCGTTGAGCATCATCCCTTTATACGGTACAAGACGAGAAACCTTATTTTTACGACTTCCTTCTTCGTTTTTGGATTTAAAAGTAATAGGCGTATACAACATTTGCTTTGGCTGTGTTTTTCAGAAATGGATGAATTATTGAGCTAGTACCTTTTAGGAAATATTGTTACACTGATGTGTTAAAGTTTTGTGTTCATCGATGCTGGAAAAACCAAGAGACAAATGCTGTTCTTATAGTCTGGTTGCCTGACCCTACTTCAGACGAAATGGAGCAATTATATACATGTCGGGGAATTGTCAAGTCAGGGAACCAGACTAGCTGGCTTGCACCCGTTCACGGATGACTGTGTAGCCGATTTTTGGTAAAACTTAATTTGGTAAATATTTTTATTGGGTGCAGTATTTGAAAAAAAAGTCGATTTTATTCCAATGATGGTCAGCCGACCATCGTAGGAAATTGATACAAAAATTCACTTTCCTTGAAAGTGGTATCACACCAGGTGCCATGATTTCACAGGATGCTTGAGACTGTTATTCACTTACAGTCAATCAAGGTATTTCATAATAATTTGGGAGTTTTGTTTGTTGATGTTTTCCACATAATTTTGTAAATTAACTTTAAAGGAGGGGTGGGGGCTGGAACTCATTTGACTAGAAGAGGCAATCTCCCCACCCCTTTTATCTGTCGTTAATTACTGTTTCAAAAGTTCGTGAAAGGAAAGGG